TTTAGACAGTGATGAACATATTAAAAGTTAGCATTATTAAAAAAAATGTATAAAATTCCATTTTCATTTATCACAGTTAGAATGAAGATGAATTTAAAAACACAGGTCTTGGCCTTGTGTTTGTGGAACACAATATTTCTGTGTGATAGATGAGATAACTAAACTTCTGTTGGCTTTTTTTTCTTTTATTATGTGCAGAAATGAACCGAGAAGTGCCATAAATCCAACAAACTCCCAGCAGAGTTCACATGTTTCCACATTTTAGGTTTCACATGAACAAGTTTAAACCTAAACCCTAAATATCTGCAGCGTTATGAAATCTTCAGTTTTATTCACATGAACATCCATGTAATAAATCATGACAGGCCTGAAGYGAAATGATTTATCTAAACTCACCTTCCATTGCATACTTCATATCCTGAGCAAACAGGTTCCACATCACTTCAGCGCTGATTTTACCCACATTCAGCTCCTGAGGAAAYCTTGAGACAAGAAGGATTAGGATGATTGTAGATTATAGTTATAATCAGTGAGATTATAAAACAGAAAATTCATAACTGGGTTCAACACGTTATTAAAACATGATCATACTGAATGATTTTAGAAAGTAAAGGCAGGTTTAAAAGAGACGYACTGGTTCAGGCAGAGTGTGTAAGAGTTTTTGTCCTCCTCGATGATGGAGACAATAAGTGTGATGAGTTTGGACCAGAAGTCCAGGTTCTTGATGCTGGGTCCCTGTTCCTCAGGAGGCACGGCTCCCTGCTTGGCCTTTAACAGGGAAAAACAGAATCAGAATGTCAGCTCTACATATTTGTTCATGAACTGATTTCTGTTAACTTTGTCACAAAGTCTTTAAAATCCGACAAAGCTCTAGCCAGGCAGACCCTTGTCCTTCCCTTGGTAACTAGAATTGAGCGGAACTGCGTAGGAAGGCAAGGGCCAGGCTAACAAAGCTCAGTTTCAGATTATTTTCTTTGGTCAACGCATTTGTTTATTATAACCGCCAAAAATAATTTATCATGTTGGCATCTTTAAAAGCTTGGGTTTGTAAAATATGATTTATATTTTATTAAAGTGGGCGTGGGCAAGTTCAAATTGATCAACTTTTCCTGTTGATTTGGATCTAGATTTTAGTTTTTGTACTTGTCCAATGTAGAACACAATTTTAGACATTTTGAATTTTACCAACTAAATTTAAAACAAAATTAATAACGTTTGTGTTTGATAGATTATATCTTTGTTGCAACAGTGCTTCTTAGCAATAAATCTTATACCAGGTGCCTGGGGGTAAAAGAAGCTCAAAACAACAGCAAAATAAGCTGTTTGGCAGAGAAAATTTGGTCATTATTCATGTGCACAACCTCAGCTCTACTGCTCATCCCACAAATGCACATTCCTTACAAATGTGGCACCATTTATGAGGGAAATTAACAGACTGTCCAACAATATAAGATTGCCGAGAAGTGAGTAAAGGTAGTGTTGGTGGGGGTGGTGGAGGGATGGGGTATTCCATGTGTGGACGATTTTTTGCATATACCCCTACTTGTGTGGACCAGTTGCTATTTATTGGGACCTTGGCCTAGTCTCCATGGGGGGAAAAGCTATTGGTGGGTCAAAGGTTGGGATCAAGACTAAGTTTGAGTTTAGGTTAGATTTAGGGTTAGGTACATACCTGTGAGGTTGCGTTTAGGGTGAGGGGTCAGGGTTAGGCTGTAGAAATTAATGGAAGTCAATGTAATGTTTGTGTAAAGATAGCTATACTAGACCGTGTGTGTGTGTGTGTGTGTGTGTGTGTGTGTGTGTGTGTGTGTGTGTGTGTGTGTGTGTGTGTGTGT